ATTATTCTTGAAAAAATTATAAATTTTATTAACAAAATATTTTGTGTAAAATATCTACTTTTAGGGGAAAAAATGATTAATGTAGTCATGGGGGCTGGTGAGTGGAGGTGTAGAGCATCTCATTTATTTAAAAAAAAAAAATGAATCGGAATTTGAGGAAATGAAGATAATGTCTCCCTTTTATTACTTTTTATAAAGCTTTGAAAAAGTGAAATATTTACTTCCTTATATTTGTTTAATCAGTTCACGTCTTTGAGTTTTCACTTTTTTCGTCTTAATTTGCTGATGAAATCGAATAATCTGAAATATGCTGACATAGAGAGAAAGCTACCTTTAAAATACAGAAGTAATCACTCTTTTACTTGTATGGACCTATTAATTTACTTAAGAGAATGATTGAAAGTTTAAGCCCTGTAATGTAGATTTAACTTTTCGAACTATTTCTGTGATTAAAAAGTTTTGGACCCAATTACAAATATCATTTAATAAAGTAAGATTCAATGGGGAAAAAAACTTTTCTTGAAGTTATTCGTATTACAATTTCAATAAACGAAATTATCTTGATTCCAAATTATACAAATAATCACATAATTTAAAACTGTGTAATTTTAAAAGACAAAAATCACGCAATTGGTTAAACAGTTCTTCATAAAAGATAATAGACTTTTTTATAGCTCATTCTGTTAAATCACACTTTTTTTCATGCATCTCTCGCAATAACATTTGTATTTTCCGTTTCACGTAATTATATAAAATAAAAAGAGTAACTAAATATGAAACTGTACATTAAAACATTTATGCATTAAAAATAGTGTCTAAGAAAGAAATAGCACTTAAATAAAATGATGTTCATCATTTTCATTGAAACATAGTTTATAGTGCAAGTTTTCCTTCAATTCATATGCATCCAAATTTCTTGCTTTTCATTTTGAAGCTCAACTTTGCTGTTTGATAATAATAATTCTTTTTCTTTTGGCATGAAATGTTTTCAACATAACCTTTTTGTGGCTTTATCGAAAAGACAAAATCAAAAATCTTATAAAAATCTTCAAAAATCATGCAACAATTGCATATCTTTTTTTTCCAATGTCATTACAGGGAATTATTAAGTCCTAATATGCGTAGAAGGTTCTTGAGGTTGTTTATCCCACAAAAGTTTATACACAGGACATACTTGACGCATTTTAACAATTAATATGTACTCAAGAGAGGCTCTTCAACGCAGCATTGATCATACAGGGTAATTCACAATCACCATCTCTAATATTCATTTTTAGAGTCATTTTCAATATGAAATAAAACAAATATCCATGTATGAGCTCGGAAATTCATATTTAAGTAATAAAAAACGTAAAAATACCATTAAAGTATAACGAGTCCGTATAGCAGGGGTGGCGAACTTTTATGCACCAAAGTGCATTTTTTCTAAAAATTTTTTTAATGAGTTCATAGACATGCGGACAGATAGTTTTGACTTCATGATTATTAGGTAAATAAAAATACTAAATGCTATCAACTGAAAACTCTTTATTTACTACGAAAAAAAATTGCAATGTCTCAGTTATACGCGTAATTCAAGTTAAAGTAACATCAGTGCGACTTATGTTGTTCCAGATTAGATTACAAATAACTTATATTAGGGTTATAACGTTAAAGATGTTAGTTTAAGCAGAGCTGTCAATTCGCTTTTGCTAGTTATTTATTGTTAGCTTGTTTTTTTATGGTTATTAATTGCTTTTTTGGCATTAATTGTTCATTTTTTTGTGAATTTTAATTTAATTGTTAATATGCTTCATAGTAAACTTTGTGATCGGTGGCGTGCCCAAAATATTGGGTCGCGTGCCANTGTAATGTAGATTTAACTTTTAGAACTATTTCTGCGATTAAAATTTTTTGGACCCAATTACAAATATCATTTAATAAAATAAGATTCAATGGGAAAAAACATTTTCTTGAAGTTATTCGTATTACAATTTCAATAAATGAAATTATCTTGATTCTAAATTATACAAATAATCACATAATTTAAAACTGTGTAATTTTAAAAGACAAAAATCACGTAATTGGTTAAACAGCTCTTCATAAAAGATAATAGACTTTTTTTATAGCTCATTCTGTTAAATCATACTTTTTTTCATGCTTCTCTCACAATAACATTTGTATTTTCCGTTTCACGGAATTATATAAAATAAAAATAGTAAATAAATATAAAACAGTACATTGAAACAATTATGCATTAAAAATAGTGTCTAAAAATTCAATAGCACTTAAATAAAATGATGTTCAGCATTTTCATTGAAACATAGTTTATAGCGCAAGTTTTCCGTCAATTCGCATGCATCCAAATTTCTTGCTTTTCATTTCGAAGCTTAACTTTGCTGTTTGATACTGATAATTCTTTTTCTTTTGGCATGACATGTTTTCACATAAAATTTTGTGGCTTTATCGAAGAGACAAAATCTTCAAAAATCGTGCAACAATTGCATATATTTTTTTTTCAATGCCATTACAGGGAATATCAAGCCCTAATATGCATAGAAGGTTCTTGAGGTTGTACATCCCCCAAAAGTGGGTACACGGGACATACTTAACGCTTTTTTAACAATTAATATATACTCAAGAGAGGCTCTTCAACGCAGCATTGAACATACTGGGTAATTCACAATCACCATCTCTAATATTCATTTTCAGAGTCATTTTCAAAAAGAAATAAAACAGATATGCATGTATGAGCTGGCAAACTGGTATTTAAGTAATAAAAAACGTAATGATACTATTGAAGTATAACGAGTTCCTAAAGGAAAGGTGAGATAAAAAAAATCCTGCTTAATTAGAAAAAAATACTGAAATAAGATTAAAAGAGATAATTGAATGTACACTCAAGACTCATCCTGCACACAAATCGGTTTTGCTATTTTTCCTTCCTTAAGAGTAATTCAACAAATTTAGAATTTTTTTCTCACTTAAATGTCAGATTATGCTTTTTTTCACTATAGTTTTGACAAGGATTCTAAAATATATATTTAAGACGATGATTACGGATAGATCTGTAGCGTCAAAACTAATTTATAAAAAAGTTTTAGTTAATTATTCCATGAATTTTTTAATTGAAGTTTGGATCTGAAAGGAGTAGAAAGCCACTCAATAACATCTCCACTACAAAATGAGCCCTAGACTCTTTGAATTGAACTGTGAATTATTTTTTCCCTGATTTTATTCCGGTCTTATTTTTTTTTCACTCAAATATTTTTTTGTTATGAGGCAAGCATTTTTAAACTTAATAATTCTAAAAAGTTAATTCGATAAAATTCGCAAGAGTAAGAGCTTAAACCTTTATCGCATTTTTTAATTGTCAAATTTTGAGACATAAAATGCATAACAAATATCGATACAATGCAAACATCTATTGGCTTTCGTAGACAATGCAAATACACATTACAGAATGTCCCACATTTAAATAGGCGTAGAAATAAACTAAATTGAATGATTAAGTATTTAAGGAATAATGTAAAAGAGTATCCATACCTGTTATCATAGCTTGAGATTGTAACCTGTTATCATAACTTGACGTGTAAAATGTTGCATCTGTTCCCATTGAGTACGTGATTTGTAAATTTTTACTTATCATTTGGACACTTCTTCTCGTGGTATGATGATTGTGTTAGGATTTTTGATTCCTATATTTGTTCTAAGCAATAATTTGGGTAAGTGAATTTCTACAAAGAGATAGTAATTATGTAAAAAGAAAGTTACTGAAATAAAAATAATTTTGAAGATATTTTGAAAATAAGAATTATTTTTAATAAAAATAATTTTGTTAATAATTTGAAAATAAGAATTATTTTATATTTACAAAACATTTCATAATAAATAAAGTCTTATATTAAAAAATTTGATTTGTCAAGAACTATTCGACTGATTTCTTTCAAATTTTGCATATTGTCATCTAAAATTACATACTTTAAAATTATTTAAAAATTTGTATACCTTACATTTTAATAATTTTTTGACCGTTACTGAATAAATTATTAATAATGATAAATAAATAAATAATAATGATAAATAAATTATTAATAATTTTTATGCATGGAATTATCTTCAGATAAACGAATTTAATCATTGAGTGCAAAATTGTTTCAATTCGATTTAAAATTTCTCGATATATGACTAAATACACAAAAACTGAAATTAACAATAAAAGGCCCACATTTTTGACAGTTCTTTTGCAGAAGCTATTGGGACAATATTTTTCAGATTGCAACTAACCCCATATTTTAATGATTAAAAACTCAAACAAGCAGAAAAAAAATTTTGTTTCAGAGAAAGTACGTTTTTTTTCTGTTTCTGTAACTTAACAAATAATTAGCTTTAATTAATTAACATGTTTGAGTCACCCATTTGAACCATTCGATTGGCATTTGGTTTGAAGTACATATTCGCCTATTTCGGAAGAAAATTTTTTTCGACGCAATGATGTTTATAATTAACAAAGGGAAAAAAAAACAATTTTGTCATCAAAAATCGGGAGCTATTGTTATTCCTAATTTTGTTTAGTTTTTATAAATTTTATGAGTTTGTGTAAGAATGAAGGACTTGGAAGTGTTGTATCTTCAAACACTGAAATTTATAATTGTGTTGATAGGGAAATTCTATGAATCACTTGTTTCAAATATCTCCATCTGACATTGAAAAGCATATAAATAGAATGAATTGCAAATAAATCAATGGTTTTACAGGATGAATGCGTTGCATACATTTTAAACTTTAGAATAATCACCATCAGCCATACAAAACTGTAGATTTAAATACATTAGTATCCAATGAGAGAGCGAAGCAATCTGAAATGAACTGTAGAAGTAGATGTGTGGGGTTGGAGATTTCAGAGAACAGGGAAGTGGGGTTAATTAGAGCGTTTTATATTATTTAAGAAATATGCAAACGTTCAAAAAATATGTTCTAAACTGTTGAATTACCAATAGTTAATTTATTTTATTTTTTAGTTATTGCTGAAGAATTCTACTGTAGGGATATCTATGAATACGACGCAAGAACAACTGGAGAAATCAAAAGTCCTTTTTACGACGATGGAGCTTACCCTAACAGACTTTGGTGCCAGTACAAGATTACAGCTCCGGAGGGACATGTTAGTGAATAATTTTTTTAATGAGTATCACGATTTTTCTTCATTCGTACCACGTAACGATATGTCGTTATTTTACGCAGACATTAGAATAAAAAAAATCCAAAACAAAAAAATAATAAATAAAGCTTTTTGAAAATCTATAAATATTTCTCTCATGATAAATTAGGATATTTCTCTAATTATTGCAACTTAACATAATATTGTTAAGACTTTTAAAATTAATAGTAATAAAATAAAACTCACTTCTGTAATGTTCAATTATCATTTCCTATTCGGAAGTTTTTTTTCTTCTCCAAAGCCATTTTTTTTAAAAATTTGAAGAAAGGAAGTCAAATTAAAGGAGAAAAAATAAATGTAATAAACACTAGAAAACTATAGAAGTAAACAAGTTTTAGCCAGAAGCCAGTGTCTTGCCAGATATTTTAATTTTGCTGAACATCCAAATCCGTCACCGATCCGCCCACTTCGGTGACGAGCTCGTCATCAGTGGTGACCCCCAGTCAAAGAATATAGAGGAGGACCCCTCAATACCCTTTTTTAGGGGGGAACCTTTTTTTATTATTGAACTCAACATTTACTTGAATGAAAGACTGTGTTTTTATCATATTATTAAAGATTTCAGCTAAAACGAACTTTCTATTTCATTGTGTTTTTTTAATAGGGTAATGAAGTTTTTATAAATCAGTTAGGTAAAAATTCTAAATGCTAGGAATAGTCGTAAGGAAACCGTTAACTACTGTTCATAGTAGATTTAGAAGTGTTCTAATAAAACAATTAATGTCCTTTTTATTGTGCATGTAGATGATAAAGCTGACTTTCAAGGATTTGGACATTGATCCAACTGGTAGTTGTGGTTTTGACGGTCTAGCCGTGTATGGAAAAAATCAAGAAGTGAAACTGGGAGTTTTTTGCGGCAAACAACTTCCTCAGCCTATTCTCTCAATTCCTGGAGAGAGTGAAATGCAGCTTCTTTTCACGTCAGACGAAATGGGATCTGCCAGAGGATTTCGAATACAGTATGAGTCTGCTCCCCAATTACGTAAGTTACGAGTCGAGTTTCACTAAAATCGAGAGACTAAGTGCTTTTATGCAGCCTTCTGAACGCTCGCGAATGTTTGTTCAGTGTAAAGAACAGTGCTTTTAGCTGGGATGGTAAAATTAAAAAATTGGTAAAAAAATGCAGGAAATTAAAAATAAGTGGTACAATTGAAAGAATGTTAAAATTGTTTATCCAGAAAGGAAAATGGAATTAAATAAATCATAAAAAAATTAAATTAATAATAAAGTAAAATAAAACTTATTTGTTTAAACTAGAAAAAAAAAACTTCAAAATATATTTTTTAAGCAATCCGAAATTTCATTTGAAACTGAAGTATTTAAATATCTCAAGCAATATTTAGAAGGGGAAGAAACAAAATATATTTCGAAATTAGAGTCACTAAGTAGGGAGGCGACATGCAAACAACAAAATCATTAATTGCCTGATAAATTTTAAGGTATTCCTATTAATTACTTTTCCGCTCCCTTCTTTACATTCGGACAATCAAATCAGTTTTGAAGTTATATCTCCTTATTAGTGGTGCATCAATATTCTAGAGCATTTTTCGTTTTCCTCATTTAATTTATGACATCCAATGTGTACTTTTTTTTACTTAATTTTTTGTCAAGAATACTAAAAATGTATTTTAAGTGTCGTGAATATGGAACGCTCTGCACATCAATAATGCTTCATGTGTACAATGATGAAGGGAAATCTGAGCTGTGCTGGTTAAAATATAATTGTATAATGTCAGAACTTATTATGTACGAATTATAAGTGTATAAATTCATTTATCGGAAAACAAAATGGTTTCCATATTCAATGTTTATGTTTGCGGAATAGATAATTATTCATTTGAGTTTTTTCATTTATAATTTTTTTTCTCAATTTAATATGAAAGTTGAGTCTAAATAAAAGTAATGATAAAAATCTAAGGTTATTCTCATTAATTAAGAGTGGTTATTTTCAATGTTTATTAATATAAATTTTAAATATTTAATTTACTAAAAGTACAATTTTGATAGTTAAGAAAAAGGATAAAATTTAGCTTCCACTTTGGACTTAATGTTGCAGAAACACAGCTTTTAAGCATAAGCCTATTAAAAATACCTCAACAAAATCTGGTGCTAAACTTTTTCATTATCACACATTCATATCAGCTTGAAGCTGTCTTTAAATTTTTTGCATCAATTTGTTTGTTAACCCTTAAATACGCGAATTTTTATTATTAATAAATAATGTTTGAAATCAACTTGGAACAGTGTGTAATTATTCAGGAAAACACACAAAAAAAAATCACATCAGAATTATTTTTTACATTTCATAAAAACGCATTGGCATCGTATTTCTATGTCATCACGAACAATCCCGCCTTGAGTTTTGAAAATCTACTGCGAATAAAAATAGAATATTTCAAACCGAAATTTTCATATAAATAATCGTTTTCAAACATAATTATTTTATATAAATAACCATAATTAGTAACACCCACTCAAATGAAATTGTACTCAGAGAATCAGCCAAGAATGAAAACTTCTCCAGGTAAAGAAATCAACTGTAGAAGATTCCAGTTGCATTTGGAAATGATAAAATAGCTTTGGTAAAATTAAAATATAAAAAAAACTCTGCAAAAAAGGTTGCCATATAAAGAAATATGAAGTTTTAAACATACGATACATATCTATATAGCTATGCATTTAAGGGTAAAATCGCAATAAATTTCATCAAATACTTTCAATATTATTTTCACATTTACAACTTATTATTTCAGTGTTTAATATTATGGAGTACTGATTTTGCCAAATCTAAGCACCTCTACTAACCTCTATGAAAATTGAGATGAAAAAGTCGATTAAGAATTAAATTATTTTTTATGAGACTTATGAATACTTTTATTTCTTCAGAGTTGTGTGCAACGAATGAAGGTGTATGCAGAAATCGTAGATGTTATCGCCTCGACAAGAAGTGTGATGGCGTAGACGATTGCGGTGATGGTACAGATGAAGAAAAATGTGGTAGTTGCTTAATTTATTTTAAAGTCATACAGTTTTGATAAAATTGTGCTGTATTTTATAAACTAGGCAGATCAGCATAAAGCATTTTTCGCTACATTCTCACTACTTTAACTTACTCCAAAAGTAATATTTAAGTATAGATAAAATATATTTCAACCGCTCAGTTAAAAAGTATTAAATTTTGTTCAATATTTCAATTCGCGAAACAATATTCATATTCAGTACTTGTAATCTTTTATTCAGTGCTTTAAGACAGAATTATGGCTTATAAACAGTCATACTAAGGCATGACACTGATAAATAACTATTCTCTATGGCGTAAACATTAATTTATCAGTGTCAGACGCGTGCAGAAACAACACGCGTGCCAGAAACATATTCTGAGGTTCACATAAGTATTCGAAAGTTAAAGAAATATCATATGTATGTATTTTTAAGCAGTGTACTTTTCAGTATTTTTAAGCTATGCATTTTATTCATGTTTCTGTGTAAGGTAAACCCATTGCACTGCCATCTAACAATTGTGGCGCAACACCCATACCACCAGACACTATGTACGGCTCTCCTGATCGCCAAGTGGGAGGAGTTGAAGCCGTACCAAACAGTTGGCCCTGGCAAGTTTCCTTACAGCATAGCAATAAAAAAGAGCCTAATGACCATTTCTGTGGAGGTTCTCTTATAAGTCCACAGTGGGTAGTTACTGCTGCTCATTGCGTGGTATGGTAAGTTCTTTTTGAATTAATGACGCTATACAAATTTTAAATCTTAAGCGTCTAATTATTATGTCTGTAATGCAGATACGTAGCTAGGGCTTACAGTACCCGGGGACAAACTCTGCTTCCCCCTCCTCTTCTAATAATTTATCAGATTAATAAGGGACTTTTCGGAAAATAGTAAGTTTTAGTTTTTAAGTAATTTTTTAAACAGTCAGATCTCTTAAGTGTTAGTTTTATTTTATAGTGGTGATTGACTTAACCGAAACGATATTTTTTTGTTTGTTTGTGATTTGAGTATCACTCATTCTTGTCAAATATCCTGCTCATTTTATCCCTTGAATAGTAATATACTTTATAATGTCGGGATCTTTAACAATCTATTTGTTCTAAATCAGTCCTTTTTCTCCATTGAGTTTCATCACTTTTTATTCCTCCAAAATTGCCTCTTATGATCTTTCTCTCAAATATCGCAAAAGTTTCCTTCTCGTTTTCAGTCATGGTCCCTGTGATAATGATTCATAGAAATGATTCAGTCATTTTATGATGATTATTACTGTAAAGATTACGGTATATCAGGTTTTTTTCTGTAACCTGTTCCGCTAAAAATGGATTTTCCTGTAAAAAGTACCGGCGCCCTGATTGCCGGTACTTTTTATCGTAATTTGATCAGGAATGTTTTGCAGTGAAGTGAGCTTTATTACAAGACCCATTGCGAATAACACTTTACTTCTATTAAAAACAGGTGATTTTAACACAATCACGACTTATTGATCTAATAATATGCCATATAATTGTAAATTATTGCACCAATGTTGTTAGTACAGAATTGGTTCCACAACTTTAACTACCACTTCGATCGGGGAAAAAACAATTTTTCTAAGTTACCATGTCATACATTCTCAAAAACCATGCTTTGTCATTAATTCTTAATTAATTTTTGACTGTTGTAAAAACGTGTAAATTAATTTTTGTCTGAGAGATTAATTAGCATCAATGCGAAAAGTTTTAATATTACTGTAGAATTTTAAATAGTTTTTAGCAACTATAATTAGCGTTACAAACGTTGAATGAACACAGTTTCTTATAAAATGCATTTTAAAGTAAATATAACTTAATAAAAGAGAAATTTCAGTAATTTGCCTTTTCATAATTGTAAAAGGGTGACTATATATATTTTTGTCATAAAATATTGCATATTGAGGTAAGATTATAGAATTCAATCATATTGCAATAATGAATAATGTTTTCGTGTTCAGTTATAAGTAACCAATATCAAAAACATAATAAAACAAAGCATAAAATTAGGAAGGAATTAAATATTACGTATAAATATCCTTAAATAAGGATAATTAAATTGCAGGTAAACACTGCATACTTATTTTATAACTTGAAGATCATATTTTCTGTCCTATGAGAATGCCCGAGAAGACAATTATCCTTTTATGATAAATGAGTAAATTTATAAATTAAAGAGAATGAAAAGATAAACAAAGTTACGTGATATATCATAAGAACTGCTTCTCAATTATTCAAAAATTCAAATAAAATATATATTTCTAATTATAAAAACTGACACTGTTAAATTATGTTTTGCAGGAAGTCTGATCCAAAAGAATTGAAAATAGTTCTAGGGAGTCATAACAAGTACACTCGAACAGAATATGAAACCGTTCGATATGCTGAAAAGATTATATCTTATCCTGATTTGGAGGGAGACAGGGTAATGACTTATAAATTATCAAGATTTATTTTTATTATTCCTTGAAAAATTCCATGTACTGTTATTCTGATCAGCAGAATCCGAAATTTTTGTTAAAAAGCATATCGTAAAGTGAAAATAATTTTTTTTAAATAATTTTTCAGTAGTATGAGTGTATAAGTAAAATATAAATTTAGACTAATGAAATAGACCATATCATAGCCATATTCTCAGTAGTTCTTTTTTCAAATACTGCAAAAAATGTCGAATAAAAATGTATGAAATGAAATAATACAAAAATCTTGCATTCGTTTGATTACCTTTTGCGTATTACAGTTTGTACTTTAAAAGATATTTAATATGCTACGTTTGTTTTAATATTTTTTTCAGTTGAGAGAAGCGTCAATAACTTTGCACGATATAACTTTAATAAAATTGAATGCCCCAGTTGCTTTTAATGATGGAATCCAACCAGCCTGCTTGCCACAACTCGGATGGGAGGTAAAATCAGGAATGAGCTGCTACTCTTCTGGCTGGGGAGAAACCAGAGGTAAGACATCTTGTATCACCTATTCTTAGATAAAAGTTTAGTTACATAAAAGATAGCAAAATATCCTGAATAATCCTAGTACATAAACAAAAACTAAAGACAGATTAGAGACATCATGTATTTAATTGTTTTGGGGATTTATTTAATCATTTGTCTGCTAGCTAAAAAATTATAATAGAACTAAAGATTTACTGAACGTCTTATTGAACGTCCTAGTTGTTGATCGCAAGTTTTCTGAACTACTGTAGGTGAGTTTCCCTAGCTTTTATTCCTTCATTTTTTGTAGTAACGGAACGAGGGAACGGAGTGAGTTGAACATTTTCCCCACTTCCTAAAAGCTTTCACACACACACACACACGCACGCGCACACACACATATATATATATCATTTGATATGGCTAATCTATATATAAATATAGATTAGCCATATCAGGATTTGTCTGAATAATGAGCTGCAACGGAACCTTCCCAGGCAACACCTGAAGTACCGATGTTATAAGCTATATGATGTCTATAAGCCCTATGTTCAATAGTGGTATTCTTTAGATCTTTTTAAGTTTATTAATTATTCTGACCCGATTTTTGAACCATACTTCAGACCCTTAAGAAATGATTTTACTTAAACTGTTATACTGTTTTAACTATACGGTATCTGATAAATAAAACATAAAATTTAAATTGCAGGATCTGGATTTGACGATGTTCTGAAACAAACTGAACAAGTAGTGCAAGGTGAAGACACATGCAAAAATGTTTTCCGTCCACCAGTACAAATCTGCGTTCACAAAATAAATAACTCCCCATGCCACGTAAGATTTTATTAATTTCTCTAAGCATGCTTTCATAAATTTTAACAATAGCAAAATAATTTTTAGTACTTATTTCTGTACAATTCATTTCGTAATAACTACAGATTAAACACATTTACGAAAACTAATTTTTTTTCACTTACGAAGTTTTTAAATTTTTGAATTTTAATTTATACGAATATGTTTCAAATCTTTTAAATCTCCAAAAAAGGATAGGGAATATTTTGTATTTTATAGATTAAAGCAATAAAAAGAACGTGAACAAAACGCAGATGAAAGTATAAATTTGGACATACTTAAGTTTTGATTCTATAAATAATAACCTTTCTCAGTATCTAAGCTCTAAATTCACTAAGAGTCTTGTGTAATCTCATTGTTTTAACGCTTTTGGTGTTCTGATACAAAGGAAGGTTCATGATTATAGAGCCGAAATTATAGTATGCCCACTTCTGTACTTTCATTTGTGCTTTATGCACATTGTTTTTATTGCGTTAACCTTTAATTAATAGATATTTAGACGAGTTTAGATTGTTTTAACAGCACGATTAGATTTTTTACAAGCTAAATTATACGTTTAAAGCTTTCATTTAATTTCAAATGAAAAAAGTTAACTATACACTTGATGCCAAATGTTTTAATTCTTAAAATTTTTTCTTATTTTTTCGATTTTTATATTTTCTATTCTTATATTCATAGATCTTTATATTTCTTAAAAAAAAACAACTTAAAGATACTTAAATTGTGTAAAACAAAGGTTGTAACTAAAATTTAGAAAACTAAATTTTTTTTCTCTTTAGAAATTTTTTAGTGTATTAATTAGTCTTTAAATTGTAGTGCTAGTATTAGAATATTTCATTCAAATATCATGATAGGACGAAAATAAATATGGAAAAAAAGAAGGAAATGAGAAATTTGAAACACGTGTTTTCTGAAATGAGCGTGTCTTAATTAGTGACATAGCTTCAATCGTCAAATTTTATTATTTTAGGGTGACAGTGGTGGACCCCTTTCTTGTAAACTAGGAGATAAATGGTTTCTGATGGGAGCTGTAAGCTATGCCAGTGCCACCAATTTCATGGGCGGCCTCTGCGGATTGCCAGAAAATAGAGTTGTGTTTGCTGCAACAGCTGACAAAGCGGATTGGATAAAAAACATCATTAATAAATATAACTAAATACATTTCGAGTGTGTATCAGATGGACAAATAAAACATTTTCTTATATATGCGTAGTTTAAAATATTGAACTAGTTTACCTTAACTGGACCTGAAAATTTAAATTTACACTTACTTACCGGTAGGCGCTAATAACTCAGCAGCCATATTTTCTTTAAGCCTAATGAGTCTATGACTGATGTCGATAGGTTCTTTTAATTTTAAAGTCACATTTAGCAGCTTTTTTTTGCTGGGAATAAATTATATTTTTTAAAAAGTCATATTAGAAATAATCTACGGCTATAAGAAGTTAATCAATCAATAAAATAATATGATTAAAAAAATAGTTTGAGTGTGAAAATTTAGTTACACACACTGACTTTAACGAACTTAATTTAAAAAGAGGAGGCAGAATATACAGTTTTGAAATATGTGAGTAGTTAAAGAATTCTCATTCTACATAAACCTTTCAATTACAAATTGATGTATTCTGACGGTTCAAAATTTTTAATGGAAACATTGAAGGGTTTAATAAAAATTCTGTTTTCCAGAATATTTCTGCATTGATTTATTTTTATCATTAAACCATTTTCAGAAGGAAAAAAAACTATTGGAAAAAGTGACCGACTGTCTCATTAATTTAATGCGCCACTTTTTTTTATTAATTCGCCACATGTCGAGTTATTATTTTCAGGTCTAACGGTAACTAACTAATCAAATACTTTGAACTCGACAATCTTGAATGTCTCAAAGTTCACTCCGAATTTTATCTATAAATATATCTAGTCTTATATACAGGTTTATATCATTGCAACAATAAGTAATATTGATTCAAACTGGTTTCTTACTGATGAAATTTTTTTTAAGTATCTTAAATACATCGGTAGAAAAATGGACTTTTCTATCTTGTTATAAGGTAATTGCATGTATAGAACAAATACTGATTTACTGTAACGAGCAATTCCTTTAGTATAAATGCAAAAAATGATTTGAATACAAACATTGTATATTTNTACTAATAGATAGTAATATTACTATAGTTATAGTAGCATAATAATAAAAGCAGTATAGTAGTTGTATTAGTATAGTAATAATAGATAGTAATAATAGCACCAGAGTAAGCAAACAGAATTCCTTTTAGTACATATATGTTAAGTGAATAATTTTAACTTTAGTAGAAAAACTGTTTTCTGCCAAGAAAAGACAATTATTGCGAAGCAATCATCGGGATCATCATGAATTGTTGGTCAATGAGAATGAAAATTTTCTTGATGATTAACCATGATAGTATTAAAGTAGCATTTTCCATCATGAAATGAGGAAATTTTATTGGTATATCTAAAACCATGAACCCATAATGAAAAATGTTGTATGAAAGTGTGGTGATTAGGTTAACTATATTAAATAAATTGATTCAATAAAAATTAACTATCAACACAGTTTAATAATAATAAAAAATAAAATAAATTATATTAAGTTACAACATAGAAAAACAAATAGGATTAGCAACAGCAGCATTTCAAAAAAGATGTAAGTCCATCGGTCAGCAAGATAGAATGAATGTTTTTCAATTTACCTGTTGCCATTTCTTGAAACTAAGGTTTTAACACAGAGATGTTGCCCTCTTATAGAAAAGTCATTTCCTAGAGTGGAAAGTTTTGTACTGCCACCTGGCGAGCAAAGTTCATCGCCATCTGGTGAGAAGGTGGTTCACCACAAAGGTGAGCATCAAATGATGTTGGACCATCATGAATCGCATTGAAACCAAAGTCAAAATTTTTTGATGGGACCATCAAGAATTTTAACTCGGGAATAGTCTCATCAAGCTCACATGGATATATCAGCAATAAACTTGCAAGAGAGGTTTGTGCTGTATGGCACACCACTACAACTAAATCTTTTAAAATCATCTATCCACAAAGAGCTCTATGTTGTTGCTTCAAAATGTGTTTTTTAAAAAAAAAAACCATAATTTGATAGTTTTCCCAGTTAGCCATTAAGTTCTTTAAGGATGTTTGTAACCGGTTTGTAACTGATCATTGAGCTTTAAAGCTCAATGAGAACAAATCTGACTTTTATAAGTAGAATGAAGAAATTTCAATTTCACATACATTTCTATAATAATTCGCTATCTCCTCCTGTTTCTTCTTTTTTTTCAAAAAAAATTGTTTCTTGATAATTGGGGTACACGGTATCTGATAAATAAAACATAAAATTTAAATTGCAGGATCTGGATTTGATGATGTTCTGAAACAAACTGTACAAGTAGTGCAGGGTGAAGACACATGCAAAAATGTTTTCCGTCCACCAGTACAAATCTGCGTTCACAAAATAAACAACTCCCCATGCCACGTAAGATTTTATTAAGTTCTCTAAGCATGCTTTCATAAATTTTAACAACAACAAAATAATTTTAATATTTATATCTGTACAATTCCTTTCGTAATAACCACAGATTAAACACATTTACGAAAAAAAATATTTTTTTCTCTTACGAAGTTTTTAATTTTTTGAATTTTAATTTTTAAGAACTTGTTTCAAATCTTTTAAATCTCCAAAAAAGATTAGGAATATGTATGGATTAAAGTGTATTTTATGGATGTATTTTATGGATTAAAGTGATGTATGTATTTGTATGGATGTATTTTATGGATTAAAGTGATAAAAACAACGTGAACAAAACGCAGATGAAAGTATAAGTGTGGACATACTAAAGTTTCGGTTCTATAAATAAGAACCTTTCTCAGTATCTAATCACTAAATTCACTAAGAGTCTAGTGTAATTTCTGTTTTAACACTTTTGGTGTTTTGATACAGAGGAAGGTTCTTGTTTATAGAACCGAAACTAAAATATGCCTATTTCTGTACTTTCATTTGTGCTTTATTCACATTGTTTTTATTGCGTTTACCTTTAATTAATAGATATTTAGACGATTTTAGACTTTTGTAACAGCTCGATTAGATTTCTTACAAGCTAAATTATACGTTTAAAGCTCTCATATAAATTTTAAATGAAAAAAAAACTCTACACATGATGCCAAAGCTGTAATTCTTAACATTTTTTCCTATTTTTTCTATTCATATATTTTCCATACTTATATTCCTTATATACTATCCTTATATTTTTGAGAAAAATAAACAAACTTAAGGATGCTTAAAATGTGTAAAATAAAGGTTGTAACTAAAATTTAGAAAACTGATTTTTTTTCCTTTTTTAGAAATTTTTTTGGTGTATAAATTATGTCTTTAAAATTCAGTGCAAGTATTAGAATATTTAATTGAAATATCTTGCTAGGACGAGAATAAATGCAGAAAAAAGAAGGGAATGAGAAATTTGAAACACGTGTTTTCTGAAATAAGTGTGCTTTAATTAGTGACATAGCTTCAATCGTCAAATTTTATTATTTTAGGGTGACAGTGGTGGACCACTTTCTTGTAAACTGGGAGATAAATGGTTTCTGATGGGAGCTGTAAGCTATGCCAGTGCCACCAATTTCATGGGCGGCCTCTGCGGATTGCCAGAAAACAGAGTTGTGTTTGCTGCAACAGCTGACAAAGCTGATTGGATTAAAAACATTATTAATAAATATAACTAAATACATTTTGAATGGATATCAGACAGTCAAATAAAATATTTTCTTATTTATGCGCATTTTAAAAAATTTAAGTGGCTCTAATAACTAGACACTAATAACTTAGAAGCCACATTTTCTTTAAGCCTAATGAGTCTATGACTGATGTCGATAGGTTCTTTTAATTTTAAAGCCACACTTAGCAGGTTTTTTTTTGTTGCTAGGATTAAATTATATTTTAAAAAAATCATATTAGAAATAATCTACGGCTATAAAAAGTTAATTAATCAATAAAATATTACGATTAAAAAATTAGTTAGTAAGTCAAAATTTAGTCAAGCATGCTGGCTTCAGTGAACTTAATTTTAAAATATTTCAGGAGGAAAAATAAACAATTTTGAAATAAATAAAGTTAATAAAGTTAAAAGAATAGTTAAAGAATTCTCATTCTACATGATTCTTTCAATTACAAACTGATGGATTCTGACTGTTCAAAATTTTTAATGGAAACATTGAAGGGTTTAATAAAAATTCTGTTTTCCAGAATATTTCTGCATTGATTTATTTTTATCATTAAACCATTTTCAGAAGGAAAAAAAACTATTGGAAAAAGTGACCGACTGTCTCATTAATTTAATGCGCCACTTTTTTTTATTAATTCGCCACATGTCGAGTTATTATTTTCAGGTCTAACGGTAACTAACTAATCAAATACTTTGAACTCGACAATCTTGAATGTCTCAAAGTTCACTCCGAATTTTATCTATAAATATATCTAGTCTTATATACAGGTTTATATCATTGCAACAATAAGTAATATTGATTCAAACTGGTTTCTTACTGATGAAATTTTTTTTAAGTATCTTAAATACATCGGTAGAAAAATGGACTTTTCTATCTTGTTATAAGGTAATTGCATGTATAGAACAAATACTGATTTACTGTAACGAGCAATTCCTTTAGTATAAATGCAAAAAATGATTTGAATACAAACATTGTATATTTGTACTTGAAATAATATTACATTTGAATGGATATGTTTTAACAATAAAATTTGACTTCAAAAGGTTGTTTTTCTATTCTATTTACAATGCTACACGAAGATAATTTTTCATTAAAACAAATAGTCACTCAATAATCAATGTTATGAGCAATGGAAACCGCCAGCACCGTAATTATTTCAATATGACTTAGTAATAGTTTACAATCCACAATTAAAAAATAAACCAAATGAACTAAGAACCAATCACATAGAGAAGAAAAAAAAAGAATGCAGTAATCTGAAGTTGACGCCAAAGAATATCATGGTAACTAGAAATGGGGTTTCAGCGATATTATACAAAATTTATCGCCAAACTGAGGCGCCCGAGATTCTTCCCCTTGACCTGTATTAAGCTTACTAACTGACTTATAACTTCGTTAAGTAACTGTGAAAAACTTTCTAAGATAATAGGTACTATGATTATCCCCCCCTATCTTAGCCCCCCTTCGCTATGAAAGTGACAAGTACAGGAGAAAATTACCTGATGGTGGTAAAATTTAAATATTATGAGTTGACCTAGATGATACTGAAAACAATGAATCTTCATTCGCGATCGCAACGCTTGAGTACGCCCTCTAGCGAAACCTTACAAAGTTAAATTTGACGTACTGAAAGACCTATTTTTATTTTTAAACTTCACAGGAACTTTTTGTGTCGTGTTGAAATTATAAAATCTTCTCATTGAAAGTTGTTGAAAAATAAATCTCATTTTTATTTAAATTAAAAAGTTTTGACTTGCAAGGCTTTTGTTTAAAAATAATTATGTACAGATCATTATTTTGTAAGTTTGCATTAAGTTGTCGAAAGAAGAAAAAAAAAAGAACAAGAGAGTGAGAGATTATTTGTTGCCATACACGTGAAGCAATTTGAACTGTTACAATGATACAAATCTCAAATTATGAGTAGCATATTAACAAATGTTTTTAAAAAAAATTATAAATTTTATTAACAAAATATTTGTGTGTGAAATATCTACTTTTAAACGAAAAAATGATTAAGGCAGTCATGGGGGCTGGTGAATGGAGGTGTAGAGCATTTCATTTATTTAAAAATAAATAAATCTGAATTTGAGGAAATGAAGATAATGTCTCACTTTTATTACTTTTTATAAAGCTTTAATGGAGTGAAATATTTACTTCCTTAGACTTGTTTAATCAGTTCACGTCTTTGCGTTTTCTTTTTTTTCGTCTTAATATGCTGATGAAATCAAATAATCTGAAATATGCTAACATAGACAGAAAATTACGTTTAAAATACAGAAGTTATCGCTTTTTGACTAGTAGAGACCTATTAATTTGCTTAAGAGAATGGTTGAAAGTTTAAGCTCTGCAATGTAGATTTAACTTCTAAAACTATTTCCATGATTAAATTGTTTTGGACACGATTACAAATGCTATGATTTAATAAAATAAGATTCAAAGGAAAAAAAAATTTTTTGAAGTTATTCGTATTGCAATTTAAATAAACGAAATTATTTTGATTCTAAATTATACAAATAATCACATAATTTAAAGCAGTGCATTTTTAAAAGACAAAATCGCGCAATTGGTTAAACAGTTCTTCATAAAAGATAATGGATAGCTCATTCTGTTAAATCACCCTTTTTTTATGCCTCTCCCACAATAACATTTATATTTTCTATTTCAAAGAATTATATAAAATAAGAATAGTAAATAAATATAAAATAGTACATTAAAACAATTATGCATTAAAAATAGCGTCTAAAAAGGCTATAGCACTTAAATAAAATAATGTTCAGCATTTTCAGTGAAATATAGTTTATAGTGCAAGTTTTCCTTCAATTCGCGCGCATTCAAATTTCTTGCTTTTCATTTTGAAGCTTAACTTTGCTGTTTAATACTAATAATTCTTTTTCTTTTGGCATGAAATGTTTTCAACACCACATTTTTGTGGCTTTATCGAAAAGATAAAATCAAAAATCTTGTAGAAATCTTCAAAAATCGTGCAACAATTGCATAACTTTTTTTTCAACGTCATTACAAGGAATTATCAAGCCCTAATATGCATAGAAAGTTCTTTAGTTTGTATATCCCACAAAAGTGGATACACAGGGAATACTTAGCGCTTTTTAACAATTAATATGTACTCAAGAGAGGCTCTTCAACGCAGCATTGAACATGCGGGGTAATTCACAATCACCATCTCTAATATTCATTTTTAAAGAGAAATAAAACAAATATGCATGCATGAGCTCGCAAATTGGTATTTAAGTAATAAAAAGCGTAAAGCTACCATTAAAGTATAACGAGCCCCTGAATGTAAGGTGAGATAAAAAAAAATCCTGCTTAATTTGAAAAAAAAAAACTGAAATAAGATTAAAAGAGATAATTGAATGTACACTCAAGATTCATCCTGCACACAAAATGGTTCTGTTATTTTTCCTTAATTAAAAGTAATTCAACAAATTTAGAATTTTTTCTCTCGCTTAAATGCTAGACTATGCCTTTTTTAACTATAGTTTTGACAAGTATTCCAAAATATATATTTAAGACGATGATTACGGACAGATCTGTAGAGTCAAAACTAAATTATAAAAATGTTTTAGTTAATTATTCTATGAATTTTTTAATTGAAGTTTGGATCTGAAAGGAGTAGAAAGCCATTCAAAAACATCTCCACTGCAAAATGAGTCCTAGACTCGTTGAATTGAAATGTGAATTATTTTTTTTCTGATTTTATTCCGGTCTTATTTTTTTTCACTCAAATATCTTTTTTGTTATGATTTATAAAACAAGCCTTTTTAAACTTAATCATTCTAAAAAGTTAATTCGGTAAGATTCGCAAAATTAAGAACTTAATCCTTTATCACATTCTTTAACTGCACAAATTTTGAGACATAAAATGCATAACAAATACTGATACAATGCAGATATCTATTGGCTTTCATAGACAATGCAAATACACATTACAGAATGTCCCACATTTGAATAGTAGAATTTGTAAAAATAATCTAAATAGAATAATTAAGTATTTGTTAATGAATTACATTACATTATATTCTTTCACAATACTCATTAACAAATACCTAATTAATTGTATAATTAAGCATTTGTTAATGAATAATTACATACATTATTTTACATTTTTCATTAACACATACTTAATTAATTGAATAATTAAGTATTTGTTAATGAATTTTTCATTAACAAATACTTAGGTGTCCATACCTGTAGAGTATCCATACCTGTTATCATAACATGAGATTGCATATCCGTGTAATGTTTTTCACCTGTTCCCGCTGAGTACATGATTTGTAAAATTCTTTATCATTTGGACACATCTTCTTGTGGAACGATGATTTTGATAGGATTTTTGATTTCTATATTTATTCTAAGCAATAATTTGGGTAAGTAAATTTCTACATAGAGACAGTAATTATGTAAAAAGAAAGTTGCTAAAATAAAAATTATTTTGATACTATTTTGAAAATGAGAATTATTTTTATTTACGAAACATTTCATACAAAATAAAATCTTGTATCAAAAAACTTGATTTGTCATTCGATAGATTTCTTTCAAGTTTTGCATATTGTCATTTAAAATTACATACTTTAAAACTATTTAAAAATTTGTATACCCTTCATTTCACTAATTTTTTGACCGTCATTGAATAAAATATTAATAATGAATTTTTTTATGCATGGAATTATTTTCAGATAATCGAATTTAATCTTAGAGTGCAAAATTTTTTCGATTCAATTTAAAATTTCTCGATCTATGGCTAAATACGAAAAAACTGAAATTAGCAATAAAAGTCCCACATTTTTGGTAGTTCTTTAGTTGAAGATATTGGGACAATACTTTTCAGATTGCAACTAACCCAACATTTTAATGATTAAAACCCGAATTAAGCTGAAAAAAATTTTTGCCTCAGAGAAAGTACGGTTTTGGGACTGTTTCTGTAGCTTAACAAATACTTAGCTTTAATTAATTAACACGTTTGAGGTCACCCATTTGAACCATTCGACTGGCACTTGATTTAAAATCCATATTCGCCTATTTTGGAATGAAAATTTTTTCAACGCAATTATGTTTATAATTAACGAAGTAGAAAAAGACAATTTCGTCAAAAAAAATAGAGAGCTGTTGTTATTTTTAATTTTATTAAGTTTTTATAAATTTTATGCTAATTTAATTGGAACTGTTAAATTAATTTTATTGGAACTGTAATCTATTGTTATCTTCAAACACTGAAATTTATAATTGTGTTGATAGGGAAATTCTATGAATCACTTGTTTTAAATATCTCCATCTGATATTGAAAATCACATAAATAGAATGAATTGCATATAAATCAATGGTTTAGCAGGGTGAATGCGTTGCATACTTTTTGAACTTTAAAATAATTACCATCAGCCGTACATAACTAGATTTAAATATATTAGTATCCAATGAGAGAGCGAAGCAATCTGAAATTAACTGCAGAAGTAGATTTGTCGGGTTGGAGAGATCAGAGAACAGGGGAGTGGGGATGATTAGAATGTTCTATATTATTTAAGAAATAACCAAGCGTTCAAAAAAACATGTTTTAAAATGTTGAACAACCTATAGTCAATTTATTTTATTTTTTAGTTATTGCTGAAGAATTCTACTGCAGGGATATCTATGAATACGACGCAAGCACTACTGGAGAAATCAAAAGTCCTTTTTACGACGATGGAGCCTACCCTAACAGACTTTGGTGCCAGTACAAGATTACAGCTCCGGAAGGACATGTTAGTGAATAATTTTTTTAGAGTATCATGAGTTTTCCTCATTCGTACCACGTAACGATACGTCGTTATTTTACCCAGACATTAGAATAAAAAGAAAGGAAAAAATTAAAGCTTTTCGTTAAATCTATAAATATTTCTATTATGTGGCGTGATAAACTGGGATATTTCTCTATTTATGGCAACTTAACATAACATCGTTATAACTTTATAAAATATATTTTTATAATAATAAAATAAAACTCACTCTCGTAATGTTCAATTATCATTTCCTATTCGGAAGTTTTTTTTCTTCTCCAAAGCCATTTTTTTAAAAATTTGAAGAAAGGAAGTCAAATTAAAGGAGAAAAGAGAAATGCAATAAGCACTATGAAACTATTGAAGTAAACAAGCTTTAGATGGTCAGATGCCAGTGTTTTGCCAGATATTTTAAACTTGCTGAACATCCAAATCCGTCACCAATCCGCCCACTTCTGTGACGAGCTCGTCATCAGTGGAGACCCTCCAGTCATCACCAAACCCGTCATGGTGACCTGAAATACCATGATTGCGGCACCCTTTATATTTTTAATGAAATCAAAACTTAGTTACGGAGAACCTATTGAGATTTGTGTTTGATCCTTTTTAAAAGGGCTGTAGAAATTGTAAACTTAAATGGTTCTCTCTCTCTATTATATATATATTACGATTCACACTTAGCAAAAATATGAAATTAAATAGTAAATTTAAACAAAATAAAAAATAATATTTTTAAAAACCACGTTTTTGTAGTGGAGAATAGTAATTAAAAAAAAAAATTGAAAAACGAAAAACGTGGGGTGCATGAAATATGTAACAGTAATGTTATATTAGTGTGTGTATGTGTGCTCTTGAGAATATGTGTATGTATATCTGTAATTGTAATTGTATCTGAATGTGGATGTGGAATATGTTTGTGTAGATGCATATGTATGTGGATGTATATGTGGCTGTGCAGGTGTATGAGTAAGAAAATGTGCACATGTATGTGTATATGTACTGTTATGTATTTCATGCGCCCCACGTTTTTTGTTTTTCAAATTTTTTTTTAATTATTATTCTACACTACAAAAACGCGGTTTTTAAAAATATTATTTTTTATTTTGAATTATTTATTTTGAATTTTTTTATTTTAAATTATAATTTTTTTAATTTTTATTTTATATTTTTCAAAAATTATTACTTTTCAATTATTATTCTTCACTGTAAAAAACGTGGTTTTTAAAAATATATATTTTTATTTAGATTATTTTTCTTAGTCAAGAGTAGTCAAGACTACTACAAGACCACTACTAAAATAATAGAACTTTCATTTTAAATTAGGGATACAAAAATCCTTATAGAAAAACAATACCTTTACGATTTTCATTAGTTTTACGCTGATGACAACCAAAAAAATCTGGAAATGAATGAGGAAAAACTGGATCCTACCACGTGATTTTTCAGCCAATAAAAATACTCCGACAATAAAAATCTTTTCACCTGACATGTAATACTAATTTGAAATAATGGAATCGACAACAAAAGACAATCTCGAAAATAATATTTCTTTTTAAATTTTAATTTTATTTTACTTTGTATGTGTTCTTTCTCTTCATTTTCATGCATTGTCATCCAATTCTGAACTATGTACCAAATTTGAAGTTTGTAGCTAGTCGGGAAGTTAGTTTAATACTGATTACAAAATTCCACCCGGACAGACATACACGAAGGCAAGTTTATATAAACGTGGTAATGAATAAATTATACTTATGTCATGTTATAGGGAATGACGAAATTTCCAAATTTTGTCACATTTACTAAATTTTATCACATAATTCGAAACCGTCCTTATTTTGTTAGTTTTACCTAAGGCATTACCAATGCTCTTCGGTAAAAATTATCAAGATTTTTGGTGCTTCTATAGAGCCAGAAGCGCAGTAATTTTTACCATATTCTGTTAGTTTCGATCGTACTTTCTCTTCAGTGAAGAACTTAAAATAACATAACTTGTTTATTTAATAAGCTAAGAAAATGGGCTTGAAGCGGAAGATTTTGTTAACATAATTCTCTGACTATTTTTAAATTAGACATAGAAATTGATATTATGGGGCAATTTAACAATTAACCCCACACTGAACATAAATTAGTATATTTAAATAAATAAAAAATGCGTTTTAAATGTGTGCATAAAATTTCTCTTTTCCAAATATGAAAAGATAAGAATTACTATTTCTTATTGCCGTTTCCGCAGGTTCTTGTGAAGCTTAGCAACAAATCAAATATAGTTCTTCTCTTGATTTTTCAGCACTGATAATTTATTTAACCTACCGCTTTCTTCAGTATAACAGGCTACACTGTAAAAAATTCCGGTAAAAAGTACCTGCGCACAGGGTGTTTTTTACTGTAAAATCTATTTCCACCGGAACATATTACGGAAAAAAAAATCTGATATATCATAATTTTTGCAGTAATAATTACTATAAGATGGATAATTAAATAAATATTTTTGTAAAAATTATGGTATGATAATTTACGGTAAAAATGGATTTTACAGATGATGTACCCAAAGTGCCGTTACTTTATACGGTAATTTTATCGGGATTTTTTTTGCACGGTACTTATGCCATGCAGGTGAATTCAATAATTATTTTTATTTCACTTAAATAGCAAGCCAAATATTTATGCCACAGGGTGTTATTTGGATTCTTCATATATTTTCCGTATTTTTCAAATGCATGCACGGAAGACAGTTGCTTATTTGCAATCCTAGCACAACTTATGAAATAGGAGCACATAATTATACGTGTACAGCTATAAGAATACAAATATTTTCCCAAACTAATCATGAGAGCTGTTTATTTTAATTTTGTAGACACTATTGGTGTTTTTTGATGTTTTTTATTTGCAATTGGCGATTGCAATGGTCTATAGGTGGCGCAAAGCAGAACTCTGTCTATTATGGCAGCACTTTGCATGCTTTCACCATCACCTTGTGGACAGTCATAGGACAAAAACACTAAATGGAATTCAAAACTGCATTAAACGTAGCTCTTAAAGAAAGTGTAGTTAGAAAATATTTTCGTCAAATTAAATGAGAAAAATGTAATGAAAGGTAAAAACGTGTTGTACATTCCCATACAACTTTGAACAGGGAAGGAGGGAAAGTCAAGAAATGGTACCGGCATTCTCTCTAGCTGGTGTATTCAAACGCTACGATCGCGAATAATAACAAAAGCACCAAGTGTCCCAAAAAATATCAACGATTTGAAATAAATCGAAACATGAAAGAAGATGAAGGAACAGGTTTATCTTTGGATTTTCAATTCCTCTCTTCAAGACGCCCGTTAACTACTGTTCATTGTAGATTTAAAAGTGCTCTAATAAAACAATTAATGTCCTCTTTATTTTGCATACAGATGATAAAGCTGACTTTCAAAGACTTGGACATTGATCCAACTTATAGTTGTGGTTATGATGGTCTAGCCGTGTATGGAAAAAATAAAGAAGTTAGACTGGGAGTTTATTGCGGCAAACAACTTCCTCAGCCTATTCTCTCAATTCCTGGAGAGAGTGAAATGCAGCTTCTTTTCACGTCAGACGAAATGGGATCTGCCAAAGGATTTCGAATACAGTATGAGTCTGCTCCCCATTTACGTAAGTTACGAGTCGAGTTTCATAAAAATAGAGTTACTAAGCACTTTTATGCAGCATGCCGAATGCTCACGAATGTTTGTTTTGTGTAAGGAACCGAGATTTTCCTCCTGTCGTAAATCTGCAACATTGTACACAAGTACGCATGGGATGCTACAAGGCAATATTAAATCCTCTCTCTAAAAGAGGGATTTTTTTTCTCACTTTCTTGCAACGTTCTGTACAAATTCTGGAGGGGACTGAGTTTTTTCTATAGAAATTGCGGTACGCAGAACATACGTTCTTAACGAACCTTTCTTGCCTTGTTACGAAAAAGTACAAAAATCTCGAAAATATATACTTTTTTCATTTTGAGATAAAATTTAGATTTTATAAAATTTTAAACCAATGCTTTCGAATCATAACTGCAAGCTGACAAAACTTTGATTAGGTTAAAAAGGATATTTTTCCAAATTTTAGGACTTAGACCAAAGTTTTTACAACAAAATTTTATTTTGGTCTTTGTCTTAGACTGAGAAAGATACTCCGGTATTAAGGCAAAGCAATATTTATTGCTTCATTTACAAGAGCCGAAAATAGCTTTGATTGTGTAATACGTAATGAGTAAGTTAAATGCATATTTATGAAATACTTTTCAAGAAAGTGAGATAAAAGTACTCTTCTGTGATAAAAGTTACGCTTTATAATGCAACGATACCTAAAAAAAAAGAAATAATATCACAATTGTAAATTAGTTTAAAAAGAATAACGAAACAAAGTAAGAAAGTAAATTTAACATAAAGCCAAAAAAAATAATAATAAATAAACAAATAAACGTTAGGATCAGATTGCTTTCTCAAGAAGGTAGAGTCAGCCCTTTGCTGGAATGGTAAGAATTAAAAAATTGGTAAAAAATGCAGGAAATTAAAAATTAGTGCTACTGGGTACATTTGAAAGAACGCTGAAATTATTTATCCAGAATGGAGAATGAAATGAAACAAATCACAAAAAAATTTAATTAATAATAAAGTAAAATAAGACTTATTTGTTTAAACCAATAAAAAAACAACTTTAAAATATATTATTTAAACAATTCGAAATTTTATGTGAAACTCAAGTGTTTAAATATCACAATCAATATTTAGAAGGAGAAAAAACAAAATATGCATCGAAAGTCAAGTCACCAACGAAAAAGGCGGCATGAGAAACAGCAAAACCATTAATTGCCCGATAAATTTTAAGGTATTCCAAGTAATTGCTTTTTAGCTCCCCTCTTTAAAATCAGACAATCAAATCATTTTCGAAGTTATATCTCCTTAATAGTACTGCATCAGTTTTCTAGAGCACTTTTCGTTTTCCTCATTTAATTTATGACATCCAATGTGTCAACATCCATTGACATCCATTTACATTGACGTTTGACATTTATGACATCCACACCCATTGACATTTATGACATCCATGGATGTCAATTATGACATCCAATGACATCCAATAATTTATGACATCCTTTTCTTAACTTCATTTTTTTCCAAGGATACTAAAAATGTATTTTAAGAGTCGTGATTACGAAACACTCTGCACATCAATTATGTTGCATGTGCACAATGATGATGGCAAATAATAGTTGTGCTAGCTAAGATATAATCGTATAAAGTCACATGAATTATGAAAGAATTATAAAGATATAAAGTAATTTATCGTAAAACAAAATGATTTAAGTATTCAATGTTTATGTTTGCGGAAGAGATAATTACTTATTTGAGTTATTCCATTTATAATTTCGAATCTTTACCCAATTCAATATGAAAGTTCAGTCTTATCAAAGCGAAAATGAAAGGAATGATAAAAATCTAAGGTTATTCTCATAAATTGTGAGTAGTTATTCTTATTGCTTATTAGTATAAATTTTAAATATTTAATGAACTAAAACAACTGTTTTTACAGTTAAGAAAAAAGATGAAATTTTGCATCCATTTTGACTTAAAGTTCAAGAATACAGCTTTTAGGCATAAGCCTATTAAAATTACTTCAACAAAATCTGTTGCTAAGCTTTTCGATTATCACGTATTTATGTGAGCTTGAAGCTGTTTTTAAATTCTTTTGCCTCAATGTGTTTCTTAACCCTTAAATACACAGGAATTTTTATTTTTAATAAATGTTTGAAATTAACATTTGGAACAGGGTGTAATTATTGAAGAAAATACAAAAAAAAAATCACGTGAGAGTTATTTTTTAAATTGCATAAAAACATATTGGTGTCGCATTTCTACGTCATCATGGACAATTAATCCGTGAATTTTGCACACCCACTGCGAATAAAAATATAATATTTGAAACCGAAATTTTTATATAAATAATCGTTTTCAGACATAATTAATTTTTATATAAATAACCATAATTGGTAATACCCACTAAAATGAAATTGTACTCACAAGGGAAACTAGGGAAGTGTGACTCGCCAATTTTAAAATAAACTAGTGGGATGCATGCCTTATGAGGAATAATTTTAGGGGGCAACATTCGTTTCGGCCCATAGAAGGTCCTGTGAGAGATAAAAAATAATTCAATATATAGAAAAATCGGTATTTTATTACTTCAATGCAGACTATTAGTTATTGTAATTGTCTCATACTCCAATTAATTTTATGGTACTTACTTTCACGTACTATATAATGCATATTTATTCTCAAAATTGATTTTGAAAATTTCATTCTCTTCAACACACTTCCCTAGTTTCCCTTGTCAGATAGCCCGCCAAGAATAAAAACTTCTCCAGGTAAAGAAATGTAAACTGTTGAAGATTCTAGTTGCCTTTGGAAATGATAAAATAGCTTTGGTAAAATTAAAATATAAAAAGAAACTTTGCAAAAAAGGTTGCCATATAAAGAAATATGAAGTTTTAAACATACGATACAGATCTATATAGCTATGCATTTAAGGGTAAAATCACTGTAAATTTCAACAAATACTTTCAATATTATTTTCCCAATTAAAAATTATTATTTCCGTGTCTATGGAGTACTGATTTTGCCAAATCTAAGCACCTCTACTACAAAATTGAGATTAAAAGGGATGGGTAAGAATTAAATTATTTTTAATGAGACTTGTGAATATTTGTTTCAGAGTTGTGTGCAACGAATGAGGGGGTATGCAGAAATCGTAGATGTTATCGACTCAACAAAAAGTGTGATGGCGTAGACGATTGCGGTGATGGAACGGATGAAGAAAAATGTGGTAATAGCTCAAATTATTTTGAATTCATACCTTGAAGTCATGCGATTTTGATGAAATTGTGCTGTATTTTATAAACTACGCAGATCAGCGTAAAGCATTTTGCACTACCTACTTACTAATTAAGAATATGCTTTAAAGCAGAATTCTGTCTTATAAATAGGTATACTTAGGCATGGCACTGATAAATAACTATTCTCTACGACGTAAATAATTGTTTTTAAGTGCCAGACGCATGCAGAAATAAAACGAGCGCTAGAAACGTATTTGGGGGCTTATAAGTATTCGAAAATTAAAGAAATATTATATTTAATCGTCAAAAACATATTAAAACATAAATATTCCTGTTCTTAGACGTCAAAACGGCATTTCAATTTCAAGAAATTTAAACTTATTGAATTCAAAGACTAAAACTATTGTTTCAGAAATATTAATATTAATAATACTAATTATTATTTTTGACATCGTTATTAAACACAAATTTTTTAACTTTAACTGCTTATAACTCTCCTTCAAATAAAAATGTCCTAAATCTTATAAAACAACGGAATAATATAAAAAATTAATAAAATTAATTTTACAATTTTAAAGTTAATTTTGATCATAGCAGGTTCTTTTAATAAATAAGTCCAAGTGCCACTGCAGGTATGCAAATAATATTGCAATAATATTGATTAAAAGTCGCTGCCCGATATGCAAAGAACATTGCGTAAGTTTTGGTGACACTGCTTGATGTAGTACATTTACCTGGCACTCTGATGCTTTCTTACCTCATTTTTTAAAGTTTAGTTCCGATTGATTGAACAACGTTACCGCTACTGAACTGAACTGAAGCTTAGATTGGTTAGTTCCTGAAGTGATGCTGTTGTCAAAAGTAAGCAGAAAAAAGTGGTGAATATCTGAGTTCTCGTGACTTTTAGCTTTCTTAATCATGAGTGTGACGGTAACGATTGTGTTGGGATAACATTTTTCTTTTTATGAGGAATTAGAAATACTTAATGAAATGTTTAAAAATATATTTATTTCTTTTTGAATTACTATATTTAATTCTATTTGAATTATTATGTTTAATTCTATTAGAAAATGTTTAATTTTATTTGAATTTTAATATGATGAAGTGCCACTGCCCGGTATACCTTACACTATGTATTTTTAAGTATTAGTGCCTCTGACCAGTATACATTTGTTCGGTATACCCTACACTGATATTTTTCAAAAGTTAAGTGACTCAGTCAGGTATACAAATAATATTGCATAAGGTTAAGTGTCACTGCCCGATATACCAGTAATATTGTATACATTTAAGTGCAACTGCAGAGTAAACATTTGCCCAGTACATTGAGGTGCTTTTAAGGTTTAGTTTAGATCGGTTGAATAACATTACCAATATCGTAACAAAACCCTAACATTACCGTTATGAACTGAACTGACTGGTTAGATTAGTTCCTGTAAAGTGGCGCTATTGTCAAAAATCGGCGGAATCAGAATAGCGGTGGAAGTATTTTACCGAAGATTTGTGCAATATTCACTGCCAATTTGTATTGTTATCGTCAAAAGCGTCATTGAGACAGCCAGCTTATTTGTTTTTAAATGTTTTCAATTGATCTGCAGAATGTTTTAATAACAAATTCATTACAACTACTATTATAACATACGAACATGCAATAGGCAAAGACCTAATCCACTCTTACTTGAGTTTATACTTACATATGGTCTTGATTTTTGACAGTATGATTTTAAATCTAGAAATACTTCAACTCCTACTGATTTAAAAAGGCAGATCAACTGATATTCAGTGGCGGCTAGTATTTTATGAAAGACAAAATGCTTTTATGAGGAATTAATTGTAAGGTATTTATCAAGATTTCATAGTATTGCATGATAGTGAATTTTCACTTTGACAATGACTGTCTCATTCTTCGATTTTTTTTAAACATGATAATGTAAAAAAATTATTATCATTGAAAACAAACTGTAATGATGACTGATTAGTCGTGTAAAACAAATTTTTTTTTGTGTAATAATCTTAAATCAAATTATTCGATATAATTCTTTTAAATCATACTATCATTGAAAATTTCAGTAATCTTTGTAAAATTTTTATAGATAAAGTAAAGATCTCGTTGCAAACTTAACACATAATTAGGATTTTTGGAAACTTCCACTGACAGCACGGGAACATTTATAATTGAACATTATATTTCATGAAAGTTAATTATTTTTTGTACGTCTTCAAATGCTTCAATCATTTACCTTCAGTCATGTTTCTGTGTAAGGTAAGCCCATTGCACTGCCATCTAACAATTGTGGCGCAACTCCCATACCGCCAAACACCATCTACGGCTCTCCTGACCGCCAAGTGGGAGGAGTTGAAGCCATACCAAACAGTTGGCCCTGGCAAGTTTCCCTACAGCATAGCAATAGAAAAGAGCCTAATGACCATTTCTGTGGAGGTTCTCTCATAAGTCCACAGTGGGTAGTTACTGCTGCTCATTGCGTGGTATGGTAAGTTCTTTTTTATGTTACTAAACATGATCTCAAATTGTTGCCTTTTTTTCAGAGTAACTCTTTTTCTTTTGCAATATATATGTATATATATATATATATATATATATAT